CTCTCCTCTTCTTTCAAGGCAAAATCATTGATTTTACGAAGGTTTTGGCCTCATGTTGCCCTTCCGAGGGAGCAGCGCTCATTAAAGCTCCCCCCTCTTCTTAGATCCATTCTCTCCAAGATGGCCCCAAGAAGCGCCCAGGAGACACCAAGAGGCGCCAAGGTGGCCCCAAGGGGTCCCCAGGAGCCCCCCAAGAGGCCTCCAAGAGGCCCCCACGATGGCCCCAAGAGGTCTCCCAGAGGCCCCCAGAGGGGCCGAAGACGCCCCAAGAGGCCTCCGAGAGGCTCCCAAAAGACATATACTACTACTTCTACTCCTACGACTACTACTACTACTGCGACTACTACTACCAGTCATATTGCCATGGCCCCAAGAGGCCCCCAGGAGGCCCCCAAGAGGCCTCCAAGAGGCCCCAAAGATGCCCCATAGAGGTCCCCAAGAGGCCCCACGAGGCTCCCAAAAGCCATCTACTACTACTTCTACGCCTACGACTAATACTCGTATCACTACATCATCTCCTACTACTACAACTATACCTACTATGACGACTACTACTAGTTCGAGTCCTACTACTACTACTCCTACTACTCCTACACCTACTACTGCTACTACTACTAGTACTGCCACTACCACTGCTACTACTACCACTGCTACTAATACTACTGGGACTACTACTACTGCTACCACTGCTACTCTTACTACTGGGACTACTACTAGTGCTGCTCTTACTACTACGACTACGACTTTTACTATTACTACTCGTCCTGTTCCTGCTACTATCACGACAACTACCACTACAACTACTTCGACTACCATCACTACTACTGCTGCTAGAACTGCTACTACTACGACTACTACTACTACTACTACTACTACTGCTTCTACCTCTACTGTTACTACTTCTACGCATGGTTCTACGGCCACTACTACTACCAGTACTACTACTAATACTACGACTACTACTGCTACTATTACTACTACTACTACTACTACTACTACTACTACTACTACTATTACTACTACTACTACTACTACTACTACTACTACTACTACTACTACTACATACTACTACTACTACTACTACTTACTACTACTACTACTACTACTACTACTACTACTACTACTACTACTACTACTATACTACTACTAACTACTACTACTATACTACTACTACTACTACTACTACTACTACTACTACTACTACTACTACTACTACTACTACTCTACTACTACTACTACTACTACTACTACTACGACTACGACTACGACTACGACTACGACTACGACTACTACTACTACTACTACTACTACTACTACTACTACTACTACGACTACTACGACTACTACTTACTACTACTACTAATACTACTACTACTACGAACTACTACTACTACTACTACTACTACAACTACTACTACTACTAATACTACTACTACTACTACTACTACTACTACTACTACTACTACTACTACTACTACTACTACTACTACTACTACTACTACTACTACTACTACTACTACTTCCTCTTCCGTGAAGCCAGAATCATTGATTGTACTACGGTTTTCGCCCCATTTGGGCCTTCTCAGGGGGCTGCGCTCATGAAAGCTCCCCTCTTTCTTCAAGGAGAAATCATTGATTCTCCAAAAAGGTTTGGGGCTCATCTTGCCCTTCTGGGGGGGCAGCGCTCAGTGAAGCTCCCCTCTTCTTTGATCCATTCCCTCCAAGATGGCCCCAAGAAGCGCCCAGAAAGCACGAAAAGGCCCCAAGATGGCCCCAAGAGGCCCCCAAGAGGCCCCCAAGAGGTCTCCAAGAGGCCCCAAGAGGCGCCGAAGACGCCCTCAGATGCCTCCGACCAAAAGACATCCACTACTACTCCCACCAGCCCTTTGGGCGTGAGTGGTTTAGGGAGCTCTCTCTGAGTCCTTTTCGACTCCTGGGAGGGCTAAAAAACGACACCCCTCACGAGGATTCTGGCCCCGACGGGGGGAGGCAGAAAAAAAACAATCTCCTCTTCTTTGAAGCCAAAATCATTGATTTTACTATGGTTTTGGCCCCATGTTGGCCTTCCGAGGGGGCAGCGCTCCTTAAAGCTCCCCTCTTCTTTCAAGGCAAAATCATTGATTTTACGAAGGTTTTGGGCTCATTGCGCCCCTTTTTACGAAGGTTTTGGGCTCAGTTTGCCCTTCTGAGGGGGCAGCGCTCATTAAAGCTCCCCTCTTCTTTGATCGATTTCCTCCAAGATGGCCCCAAGAAGCGCCCAGGAGGCACCAAGAGGCCCCAAGATGGCCCCAAGAGGCCCCCAAGAGGCATCCAAGAGGCCCCCAAGAGGCCCCCAAGAGGCCCCCAAGAGGCATCCAAGAGGCATCCAAGAGGCCCCCGAGAGGCCCCAAGAGGCTCCCCCGAGGCACCCAAGACGCTCCTGGAAGCCCCTGGGGCCGCCAAGAGGCCCCCAAGACGCCCCAAACGGCCTCCAAGAGGCTCCCAAGAGGCCCGAAGAGGCTCCCCCAAGGCACCCAAGACGCTCCTAGAAGCCCCTGGGGCCGCCAAGAGGCCCCCAAGACGCCCCAAAAGGGGACGAGGTGCCCGAACGCCTCACGCCACGAGGAGCCCGAACGACTCACACCAGGACGAGGGGCCCGAACGACTCACACCACGAAGAGCCCGAACGACTCACACCAGAAGGAGGGGCCCGAACGACTCACACCAGGACGAGGCGCCCGAACGACTCACTCACACCACGAGAAGACTCACACCACGAAGCCCGAACTCACACCAGGACCCGAACGAGCCCGAACGACTCACACCAGGACGAAGAGCCCGAACGACTCACACCAGGAAGACTCAGGGCCCGAACGACTCACACCAGGACGAGAGCTTTCTCTCCCTCCTCCTTCGCCTCGTCCTTCTCCCGCTCCCCCCACAAGGAGGATGTACAAGGAGGCGGGAGGAAGGAGGAACAGGGGAGATATGCGGGGCCAAGCGGACACACGCCTGAAAAACACGACTGTCGGCATGTTTCGCAAGAGTTGCTGCTGTGAGATGGGCTGGTGGGGATACGCGAAGCGTAAAGAATTTTGCTGGCGCATCCTGGACGCACATAGGAGGAGCTAGGATGATGCAGGCGCACTCGGGAGGAACCGTAGATTCCACCGGCGCTCCTTTTCCATAAGGACTCCGTTCCGCATCCTATATAAAACAATTGTTTTCTGTGGAGTCCACACGCTTTCCATTTTGTCGTAAGGATTCCTTCAAATATTCCATATGCTGCAGTGGTGCTGTGTTGCACACGGTTGCTGTGGTGCACACAAGCGCCGTGATATACCCAGGCGCTGTAGTGCACGCAAGCACTGTTGTGTACACTGTTTCTGGGTTGCACACAGCTGATGTGGTGTACGCAGGCGCTGTGGTGTACACAAGCGCTTTGGTGCCCGCAGGCACTGTGGCACACACTAGCGCTGTGTTGCACGCGGCTGCTGTAGTGTACATAGGCGGCGTGGTCAGGAGTTGTGGTGCACGCAGGCACTGTGGTGTACACAGGCGCTTTGGTGCAGATCGTCACGCACATGCTGCTGCTACCCGTCGCCAGACGTCATTCGTAGGCATTCCCATACGCCGCCAGCGCGAAACGCGACGTCGTCGGCCCCCTTCCACCCCCACCCCCGCCCAAATGATTGCCGTCACCGGCCCGGAATGAAAAACAGGCTCCTGCAGCGTCCGCGCGCACGACGACGATGAGCGACGAGCGACGAGCGACGAGCGACGAGCGACGAGGACGGGGACGAGGACGAGGACGAGGACGAGGACGAGGACGAGGACGAGGACGAGGACGACGACGACGACGACGACGACGACGACGACGACGACGACGACGACGACGACGACGACTGCGGACCTGACACCTATACGGATTCCGATGCGGACACCTATGCGGATCCCGATGCGCACGGCGGCAGTGCCCAGAGAACACTGGGAGGGGGGGGTGGCGTTGGGTCAAAGGGGAGGAGGAGTGGGCGGGGGCCATGACGCTCGTCATGCCCCAAGCAAAAGAGAAACACTCTCCAACCACTTTCGTAATGAGGGGGGGACCTGAACGACGATATCCTAAACGGTCTCCTTGTCGGATCTTCGGGTACTTCTGACTGTGCCGTGCCGACTTGTGACTTTGTCTTCACATGAGGCGTTACACCAGACAACACATGTATGTCTTCAGCATCGAGAGCCGCCAGATGCTCTGCGAACCCCCGAGGCGAAGCCTGCACGATTGAGGGCCACAGTGTGCGAGAGCGAGCGAGAACAAGAAGCAGCTGAGCATGCGATGACGAGAACCTTGTGGGCCCCGGAAGCGGCAGGGCCGTTTTTTCACCGTTTCCAAAAAAAATATCCCTTGAAAATGGAAACGGCAAAAAACAACTACCGGAAACGACAAAAAAACTGCTCCAGGATTGGAACCGGAGCCGGAACCGGTCAAAAAACGGCGACGGAACCGGTACAAAAACGGCGTCGGAACCGGCAACAAAAACGGCGAAACAGAACCGGTATCAAAACGGCCCTGTCGTTTCCAGGGCCCACTGAGGACGAGAACACCGAGGCCTCGAAGCCGTGGGAGACAGGGCTTCGGCGTGCGATGTCGTTCGCTGCGCGGCGTGCCACCCCCGTGTAGGTTGGCGCACTCAGCCTGTCGACCCCTGCGAGACCCCCCGCCCCTGTGCCGAGGGCCGGGCGGGGGGCCACGCCCCCAAGTCGGCTGCTCCTCCTCCTCCTCCACGTCCTCCACCTCCTCCTCCTCCTCCTCGTCCTCATCCTTCTCCTCCTCTTGAGCTCTGCTTCTCCTCCTCCTCGTCCTCATCCTCTTCCTCCTCCTCCTCGTCCTCATCCTCCTCCTCCTCGTCCTCATCGTCCTCATCCTCCTCCTCCTCCTCGTCCTCCACCTCCTCCTCCTCGTCCTCCTCCTCTTGAGCTCTGCTTCTCTGCTTGTGGTGGACCGCTCTCGCTCTGGTTATCGCCGCGACAGCAGCAGAAGCGGGAGGGACGGGAAGAAATTGCGGGCGGAGCCGTGGTCATCCAGAGAGTAGCGGGGCGCGCGAGCATCGAGGCGCAGCAGCTGTCGATCGCACTGCTCGGCGAGGCTGCCTACGTACAGCGAGCGGCCGCGAACGGCTCCGAGGGGGAAGGCTCCCCACCTCTGGTCCCCGACCGACACGACCACAGCTGGGCGCAAGAGCCAGGAAGGGTCCTCCTGGCGGTCTGCTTCCCCTGCTCTGCGGTGCCCCGCCCGAGGATTCTTCAAACCCCAGCCCGAGTTTTTCATTGTGGACCTCCTCGCTGTGGCCCGCTGTGGTGGTGTCGCGAATCCTCCCCCCGACAACCTGTCCACCTCCAATGTTCATCCTCATCGCTCTCCGCCTCCTCCTCCTACATCCCTCCTCCTTGTAGACAACGCCCCCGTCGCACCACAAACGTGTCCGTTGGCTGGACTGGGCGTTTCGCTCGAGACGTCCCCACGGTTTGCTATGTTCGAGCTACGGTTTACGATGTTCGAGGCTACAGGATGGAAAGCTAGTGGCTTTCAACATGCGACGTTCGCCTCAAGGTCGCCCACATTATTCTAAAACAACTCGCAGAGGAGTCCGGCACGTGTTCAAACTGCGGTGCTCGCCTCCGCGCCGCACGTATTCGTCCTCAAGGCCTGCAGCAGTTACAAGACTTGAGACCAATGTTTTTTTTTCAAATGACGGCTCTCGCCTCAGCGCCGCGCACGTTGGTCATAAAAGCTTGCAGCAATCAAAAAAAACAAACGCCCGCACGTTTTCAAAATGCGGACCTCACACCAGGGCCGCGCACATCCGTTTAGGCCAGCACGCTGCCAACTGTGGCCCTGGCGTCAGCGGCGCAAACCTAGCGCACACACACACACACACACACACACACGGACGGATGCCCGCACGTTTGGAAAATGCGGCTCTCGTCTTGGGAGCCGCGCACGAGCAATTACAAGGATGGAGGCCCGCTCGTTTTCCTAACGCGGCTCTCGCCGTAGCGCTGCGCAAAGTTAGCTCTTACAGGCGTACAACAGTTACAAAGATGAAAGACGGTGCTTTATCATTTTTGGGATCTAGCTTGAGAACTCGTGAAATCCTACCAGCCCTTCGGGCGTAGGCGGTTTAGGGAGGCCTTTATTTCAACCTCCTTCCGTTTCGGAGAGGTCTTGCAAACACTCACTACCCCCTCTCGTCTGGAACCATCTCTCCGCAGGTCGTTGGAGGGTCCGAGAAGCCCAATATGGCCCCAGGTAGCCCGAGATGGCCTCCAAGATCGCACACGAAAGGCCGAACTGAAGATGGCTCCCAACATGCCCTCGATGCATCAACACCGTCCCAAAATGGCTCCGAATGGCCACGGAGCCTTCCAACGACGCCCACGAGACCTTAGAGGTCAAAGTCACTGGAGACCCGACGGAAAATCCATAGTTTGCCGTCTTGCCTGTTCACTTCCGATGGGCTGATGAGGCCTCAAAAAAGCTCCAACATAGCCCAAGAAAGCCCCAAGAGGACCCCAATACGGCCCCAACAGCGGCCAAGAGGCCCCGGCAGGCCTCCGACAGGTGGGGCTGCTATTAATTCCCCCCTTCTCTGATTGATGGCCTCCATAGTTGTCCCAAGAGGGCCTTCAAGACCCCCACGAGGGCCCCAAGAGGGCCCCAAGAGGGCCCCAAGAGAGCCCGAACGCCATCAAAACAGCCCGAAGAGGGCCCCAAGATTTCCCAAGTTAGCTGCCAAGTGGCTCCTATATAGAAAGCTTCGAGAAGGTATTTCATAGTTGACTCCTGGGTCTGCTCAGGCTGATCTCGAAGATCGGTTTGTCGGCTGTCTCCCCTCGTTATTCCACTGCGTACTCCTACACGTCCCTGATCAGAGCAACTAGCCTGGGCATCGTTTCTGGATGGGCTAGTGGGGATACTTTTTTGGTACGCGCGCTCGCGAAGAAAGTCGAAAGCCGTGCAGGACGGGCGGGCTACGCGCCGACGGAAGGTAAAAACAGCAAGCAGGAGCGGCCCCATCAGAAGCCCCGCTGAGCTCAACGCGGTCAAAATGGCGCCGAACCAGGACCTGGTGACGACGAGAGTGGGGATACGAGAAGCGCCTAGAATTTCATGACCGGAAGTGCAGACCCGACAAACAGTTTATCAGATTGGGGCCTGTTCCTTTTCAAAATGGGGCTCTCGTCTGAATGACAAGCCCATGTAGCGTAGTCATCACCCCCCTCTTTTCCGCCCTCGAACTCATGGGGGTTCTCTGCTCTCTCTTCTGAGGGACTGCCTGGCGGCCGGGCGGAGGTGTCGTCGCCGTCGCCGCACCGCCGCCGCCTCGTCGCCGCCCGTCGTCTGGGCCTGCCTGGCGGTCTGGCGGCTGTGTCGTCAATCGTCGCCCCGCCACCACCCCGTCACCGCCTCGTCGCCGCCCGTCGTCTGGGCCGCTGGACCTGCACTACTTCGCACTGGTTCGCATTGCTATGCAGTGCTGTGCCGTGATTTGCGCTGCGCTGCCTTGAATTACAATAAGTTGCATTGCTATGCCGTGCGCTGCATTGCTCTGCATTGCTGTGCAGTGCTCTGCATTGCGTTGCATCGCTGTGCATTGCTTTTCATCGCATTGCTTTGCATTGCAATCACAGTGTAGTCGCATTGCGCTGCTTTTTTCGCGTCGCGCTGTACTGTATTGAATTGCTTCAAACTACGTTGCATTGCGTTGCATTTATGTGCAGTGCGTTGCACTGCGTCGAATTGCTCTGCGTCGCATTGCATTGATCCGCATTGCGTTACAAAGGTTTGCGTCGCATTGCATCACTGGTCATTGCTTCGCATTGCTCTGCATTGCGGTGCATCGGTATGCATCGCGTTGTATCGCATTGCTGTGCATTGCAATCGCATTGCGTTGCATTGCGTTACATCGCGCTGCATTGTGTTGAATTGCTTCGAACTACGTTGCACTGCTTTGCATTATGTGCAGTGCGTAGCACTGCGTCGCATTGGTCTGCATCGCGTTGCATTGAGTTGCACTGCGTTGCAATGTTTTGCATCGCATTGCATTACTGGCCATTGCTTCATAGTGCTTTGCATTACGTGGCAGTGTCCTGCATTATGCTGCATTGCTTCGAACTGCTCCGCATTGCTTTCAGTGAGTTGCATTGCTGCCCAGTGTGGTGCATTGCTTTGCGTTGCTGAGGACCACCCAGATTGCACCACTTTCATCTCACCACATAGATTGCACCGCATAGATTGCGAGACATCACTGTTAGGGGTCCACAATGGCTAACGTGTTCCTGAACATTGACGTTTACGTGTGTCTGTATCTAGAAATTCTCTCCTGAGGGCAGAACCTGGCAAGTCCTCCTCATCAGAATTGTTTTCCGAAGGCCTCTTCAGGCGTCAGAATACAACAACAAAAACAACACACCAAGAAACGATGACGACGATCAAGCATCGAACATCAAAGCAGGAATGAGCTCGATCATCCTCTGTACCCATCCCCAACCCCTCTTCCCCCACCCCGCCTCGGCCTGGAGAAGAAGGATGAGGAGAGGAGGGGGAGGAGGAGGAGGAGGAGGTGGGAAAGCAGGAGAGGGAGGGGGAGAGAGAGTGCGACAGGGCTGGGGAAGCGGGGCACAAGGAGAACGACGAGGAGAAGGACGAGGGGGAGGAAGCGAAGGAGGAGGAGGAGGAGGGATGGCTGGACGGCGCCATATGAAGGTCCTGTCCATCGGAGAAACTCTGCGCGTCCCCCTTCGCCTAAAAATGGGAAAGCAGGGCGGCCGTCTTTCATTCGTGAGAGGGAGCCTCAGGGCAATCGGAAACGTATATAAAAAAAACATAAACTGTTCCCCATCTGCGCGAATTTCTAAGATCTGCGCTGAATCTCCCTCCCTGCTGCGCGGAGCGCGCCAGAGGCGGCGGCAGAGGCGCCGCCAGGGGGGCCCAGCGCATATCCGAGACTTCCGCGCGGAGCGTCAAAAGTTGATCGTGTTTGCCTTTTGTCTGTTCTTCGAAGAGAGGGAGGGAAGCGACGGAGAAACTCCTCACGCCCTTCTCTGCCACAACACGGACCAGCAAGGCGGCCGTCCGCCGTTCCTGGGGGGGAGCCTCCGGGGAACCAGAACAGGCCAGACGGGGAAGCGGCGGAGGTGCAGAAAGACCATTCCCCCCCCAGCTGTCCTCCGCTTTGGACGCCCGAAATGGGTACGGAAAGAATGGGTACAATGCCCAGCAGCACATGGTGTCCCAAGCCAACAGGGGCCGCTGTTGGGCAGGCGGCCCTCTGTCTCGAATGGACACAGGCCGCGGCGGCGTGGACAGCGAATCCTGTCCAAAATGAACAGGAACTGCTGTTGGGCATTGTACCCAGTCTTTCCGTACCCATTTCGGGCGTGCAGATGAACCGCGGAGCCCCAGGGGCGGCCCCGGCAGGGCGGCCCCCGGCGGGTCACATGTCCATGTAGTCGCCGTAGCCGCCCATCGCCGGAGCCGCCCCGGGGCGATCGCCCTGGCGCGGCGTCGTGTTGCCAGCGGCTCCCCTCCTCCCTGCGCTGATGACGACGACGACGATGACAGTAATGATGATGATGATGATGATGATGATGCTGATGATGATGATGACAATGATGATGATGATGATGATGATGATGATGATGACGACGACGACGACGACTACGACGATGTCGCCGACGACGATGACGATGATGATGATGCTGCTGGTGATGATGGTAATGATGACGATAATGCTGACGAGGGCGATCATGATTAGGTTGATAATGATACGTACGATGATGCGTGAACGGTTACTTATGATGACGACCCGGCACATAATGATTATGATGATTTTGATGATGATACTGATGATGATAATGACGAGGATGATGATGATGATGATGATGATGATGATGATGATGATGATGATGATGATGATGATGATGATGTTGATGATGATGCCGATGAGGATGAGGATGAGGATGAGGATGAGGATGAGGATGAGGATGATGATGATGATGATGATGATGATGATGATGATGATGATGATGATGATGATGGGCGGAGGAGGATGGGCGGAGGAGGAGGAAGAGGAGGAGGGATGACGAGTGAAGGGCGCTCGCAGAACCCAGCAGCAGCAGAGTGTGTGCCATCGCGTGGCAAGACAAGCTGCAGATGTAAGTAGCATGTGCACATGCCCAAAGACATTAGGACTCGTGCCGTCAGGCAATTCCAGAGCCCTCTCGCCCGCGAGCTCCGCAGCACCAATCAGGATGGCCTGATTGTGAACTTTCGCTCGATTGCTCTCAGAAGGTCTCAGCACTTGCAGGTCGCCCCAAGTACGGGTCTCACGAGCGGAGAACATATCCGTATCTCGGGGATGGACAGACCCCCCTTCAGTAAAACGTGGTTTAGTGAAAACGACCTGAGGCCCAAACCTGGCGGGCGCAAGCCTGGAAAATAGCGGCCAACGGCGCCCTCGCGAGAACCGAAAACGGACAATTCGCTAGACGTGCCACTGTTGGGGGTTCTGTCCACCCCCGAGTATCCGCGCACTCGCGGTCCTGACTCCGGAGCGCGTTCCCGCGCATGCGCAGTCGCTCGGCTACGCCCCGCGCGGGGCATCCGCGAGAACACGCCCCGTACCCGCGGCCGCGGGGGGTCGCTGCCCAGGGGCCCAGCCAGCGAGGCCGCGGATGCGGAGATGTGTTTTTCGCCCACGAGGCTCACCGGTCGCCTCGGGAGACCGAGGTGCCCCTGAGATCCAGCGTTGGAAAAGAGCATACGACATCGCCAGCACAAACTCGGCCAGAGCACTGGACTCCATCTTTCTGCGACCTGCTTCGAGCCGCGGGCACGGGACGGCAATGCCAGCTGTGAAACAAATGCAACGCCAGGATGTCAGGGTCTGGATAAGGAGGAGGCCCCGCGTGATCGTGCTGATGTTTGCGCAGATCTGACGGAGAAAGATGCTGTGGGCCACCTCCCTCCTCCTCCTCATCATCCTCATCCTCCTCCTCCTTGGATGGATCGTGGATGGAGGATCGATCCTCGATCGATCTTCGATCCTTGACCCTCGATCCTCGATTGATGATCGAGGGTCGAGGATCCTGCTTCAAGCGGGCAGGGGTGCTTCTTCAGAGGAGAGAGGGCGGGCCGTTTTGCTCGGCTGACGGCATTAGTGTTTGCCCTGACTCGAGGCCGCGGCCAAGTCGGGATGGCAACGGCCGACGGCTCACGGGAGAAGGAAAAACATCCGTCGGACAAGGTGGCACGGCTGGGAAACGGGGGAGCCGGGGTGGCAATGCAACCAATGTTCTTGCGTAGGCCCTCAGCTGACCGCCTGGACTTCCCCAGGGACTCCTCCGAGGTCCAGCGGGCCCAGATGTTGTGTTTGAAGAGGTGCGGACTCTGGGGGCGAGAAGCATCAGCCAAGCTTCAGGCTGTCTGTCAAGCCCGGGTCCGCACTGGCACTGAAATGTTGTCTCGTTTCCGACGAAGGCAACGGAAAGAAAGGGGACTTGCGCACTATGACATGGCGACCTTACGCCGCGGCTTACGCGGGCCGCTAGCGCGACACGCTACATTGGAAGCAAGGGCGCTTACACACGACATTACGCGGGAAGCATAGATCGGTGCAGACGACCCCGTTGATATGCGTCGCTCACGTGGGATTGCCCCGAATCTCTGGGTGTGAACCTTCCTCGATGCTGCCGTGTCTGCCGCGAGTCGCCCATGATCCATATATCGATCTACCGATCCCACGATCGACCAATCTGAATAGTCATCGGTCTCACGATCGACTGATATCACCATAATGATCCCGTCGGTACCGATGCGTTCACACAGACTTAACTAGAACCAGCAAGCGCGCTTCGCGCGCGCTGAGCGCGCCAGAGGGGCCGCGTCCGGGTGATCGGGTCTGTGGCCTGGAAGCCCACGCGGTGGCCAGGTCCGTGCGATGAAGTCGCGCCGAGGCTCGGTGTTCGATCAAGATTATGAGATGAGAGGGCGTCTGAACTTGAAACAAGTTGCCCACACAAAGGGGGTATCGTAGATGTTGCCCCGCTGCCGTTCCCCGCCTCAACTCTCCTCAGAGTCATGCACAGAGGCGGGTCAGGATGGTGTGCTCGTCCGGCTAAGATAGTCTCCCTCCGTTCTCGTGTCCTCCGTCCCGTCCTGCTCGCCCCCCTCCTCCTTCTCACCCTCCCTCCGTGCTCCCTGTCATCCTCCCTCTTCCTCAGCCCCCCTCCTTGCCCATGGCCACCTCCCTTAGCACTCCTCGTTCACACACCCCTCTCTCCCCCTGTTCTTCCCTCGTTCCTTCCTTCTCCTTCCCTCCTCCCTCTGTCACTCCTCCCTCCAGCCTCTCCCTCCTCTTCCTTCCGCACCCTCCGCCCCCCTCCTTCTCTCCACCTCTGTTTCCCCCTCACTCGCCAGAGCTCCGCCTCCAGGGTGGCCACCTTTCGGATGTAGGCCTCGCTCGAGGCCACCTCATGCTCGAAGGAGGCAAGGCGCGAGGCGAGCTCGAGGATGCGGGCCAGCTTGTCCTGCAGAGAAGGATCGCATCGGACGAACGACGGGACAGCAGAGGAAAGGGGGGGGGCGAATCAGGTGCCTGCATCTGCAAGCCAGTGTCCGTACGCTGGCGGCGAGCGAGGGGGGGAAGTGAGATGGAGAAGGCGGCCTTCTCAGAAGGCGGCGGGACTTCTCAGAAGCCCTCGCGCCTTCTGAGCAGTTGTCTCGTGCCTTCGGGGAAGGCTCAGAACACTTCTCAGAGGGCCCGGGGACGTCCGAGCCTTTTGAGAAGGCCCGTCCCTTCTCAATTCCCCCCCCCTCGCTCGCCGCCGAGCACCACCCCCGTCGTCCCCAGCCCCCACCCGTCGTGCTGCCCGCCCCGAGACCAGCCACCGCTCGGACGTCCACTCCCTGTGCTTGTTTCGGTCTCGTACGTGGTTTTTCCGCCAAACGATCAAGGATGCTCCTCGATGGCCCTCGCCGAAGGAACAAAAAATGCTCACGCCCGAGCGGTGCCAAGGAGCGGCCTCGCGCGGCGAGCACGCCCAGGTTCGACGAAGACCTGCCCGCGCGGCCGCCGCGCTTCTGCCCGGGGCGCACGCCCACGTGGACCCCCGGGCTAGCGGTGCCCGCGCCTCCCTGTGGCCTCTCGGCGGTGGGCTTGGCGGAGGGAAGAGGAGGAGGAGGAGGAGGAGGAGGAGGAGAGGAGGAGAGGAGGAGGAAGGAGGAGGAGGAGGAGGGAGGAGGAGGGAGGAGGAGGAGGAGGGAGAGGGAGGAGAGGAGGACGAAGAGAGGAGGAGGAGGAGGAGCAGGAGGAGGGAAAGGAGGAGGAGGAGGAGGAGGAGGAGGAGGAAGGAGGAGGAGGAGGAGGAGGAGGAGGAGGAGGAGGGAGGAGGAGAGGAGGAGGAGGGGAGGAGAGGAGGAGGAGGAGGAGGAGGAGGAGAGGAGGAGGAGGAGGAGGAGGGGGGGGGGCGCACGCGCCGCTCCCGAGGCCCACGGGGCGGGACGGCCCGCGGCGGCAGCCATGCCGCCATGCCCCCCCCCCTCTCGGAGCCCCCCACGCCGAACCGCCGGAGGACGACGACGACGCGGAGGAGGGGGAGCGAGGGAGGGCGACGGCGACGACGACGACGACGCCGACAACGGCGACGACGGCGACGGCGTGGACGAGGACTGCGACGAGGACTGCGACGAGGACGAAGAAGAGGACGAGGACGACGTGGAGGAGGAGAACGAGGAGGAGGAGGAGGAGAACGAGGAGGAGGAGGAGGAGGAGGAGGAGAACGAGGAGGAGGAGAAGGACGAGGGCGACGTTGACATTGGCGAGGACTGCGACGAGGACGAGGCAGAGCTCGGAGCGGCGCAGAGGCGAACGAGCTCGTGGAGGCGTTCCGAGCAGCGGGTCGCCCCCACTCTGCGCCCGAAGCCCTGCGCTGCGCGGAGCGCCAGAAGAGCGGTCGCCTCTGCGCCCTTTCGTACAGAAACAAACAGATACCAACACACAAATGCAGGATACAGTCGGGGCCTTGCCCTAAGGAACCCTAAATAAGGAACGAGGCCCCTTTTTTCCATGAGTTCAGCTTCGATTTCCGATCGAGAACATAAGGACAACCTGAGGCAAGCTGTGAAACACTTAAGGAACGCGGAGCCCCTCCCCAAACGAAAAGGGTTCCTTCTTCCGGGCCCCGACTGTACAGAAACAAACAGATACCAACACACAAATGCACAAATGCAGGATAACAAAAAGCAGAAATGCACAAATGCACAATGCACAATGCACACAATGCACACACAACAGCAGATACCAACACACAAGTGCAGGATACAAAAAAGAAGCACAGCTCGAGCAGATATTTTTGTTCGGGGGGGCAGCGCCGGGGCGCAGGAAATCCACACGCGAAACTCTGACAGTTGTTGTCTAGATCGTTTTTCAAGGGGCCCAAGGACACACAAATAAATACACACAAATAAAACGATTCTCCATATTTCCCCATCTTTTCTGGGTTTCTGTCTTCCCCCCCACTTCCCATATTTTCCCATCTTTTCTGGGGAATGGACGATTAATTGTGTCTGTGTGTGTTTTCCCCCTCCCGAGTTTTTCTTGTTCCTCTGGTGCCCCCAAGAGGAGAAGTGCAGCTTCAGCCTTCGGGGGCGTCCAAGGAGGGGGGGCGTCCAGGAGTGGGGATCGCAGGCAAGGGAGGGGGGGGGCAAAGGGACGTCTTGGAATGAGAACAGGCGCCATGAGATCTGAGGAGGCATCGTAGCCCCCGCTAGATCCCCCCCTGGTCATGGCCGCCCTCCCTGCCGCCCCCGAAGCCTGGAGGGCGGCGGAGGGGAGCGCGACTGTGCCCCTCAAGCCCCTGTGCTGCGCACGAAGCCCCAGGATCGCACCGCGTCGCTCCAGGAACGACGAGGCGCCGACGATGGGCGGACGATGAAGGGATGAAGAAGGGACAAATGACCAGCCTCGAACTTATTCCTATCCCCTATCTCTGAGATCGGCAAGCCAGAGGCAATGACAACTTTTAGGAAGTGCCCTCGGAAACTGAGGGATCTTTCAAGATCGGCACCGAAGTAAAGGTGATGCCGAACACAGGGATACGGCTACGTTTTCAACAGATAAACGAACCTGGTTTTAGATCGCGCGCCGCAACGCCGACGCATCCTCGATGCAGCGCGACCTGGGGGGCCCCCGCTTCCTTCGCGTGGGGCTCGAGGGGTGCGGACTGACCTGCCCCGTCGCAGCCGGCCAGACGCTCGAGCGGGAGCCTGGGAGTTCTGTGCGTGCGAGCGGGACCGCCCGCGCCGCTGGGAGGGAACCCACGAGGCCAACACGCGCCACGGAGCCGAAGGCGGCCCGACCGCAGGCCGCGGCGTCCACATCTACTCGGGGTTTCTGACTAAGCGTGGAGGGGTCCCCCCTCGACGGGGGTGAACCTCGCCTCGTCGTCGCGCCGCGACGGGGGTCGGAGCGCCTTCGGCGCGCGGTGGCTGCACGCGACGGGGGTCGATGTGGGGCTGTCGGCGGGGGTGACGCCCCCCCGACGCTTATCAAGAAACTCGGAGTAGGTGGAGACACCCGAACCCTGCCCCCACCAACCATCGATTCTCATGAATCGATGGAAGGTGGGGTCAGGGTTCGGATCTCGCCACGTGTTCGAACTCCGAACCCTACACCCGCCGCCCATCGAGTTGCCTGAATCGTTGATCGGCGAAGGTAGGGTTCAGATTTCGCCGTCAACTGATTATCGCCCCCACCCGCCTGCATCTTCTCCATCATAGCGCTATCCATGTCTTCGGAGTCGTCCTCGAAAGAGACGTTTCCAGTGATCTGGTCTATCCTCGGCCGGCAGGGATGGGGCAGGTGGAGGCCGTCACATCGGAACCGCAGTAGACGGGGCCAGCGGACCGCACCGCATGGCCAAAGGATCGACGACGCAACAGATGCACAGGCGATGCGGCGCGTTCCTCAAAACCCATCTGTAGTCATCGTGCTACTATGAGGCAAGCTGAGGAGAGGACGAAGGCGCTGGTCACGGCGAGCCAGGGCCAAGACTAGCCTCCCCGGCCCGAATCCAATAAACGGCCCGAAAACCAGAGCCCCTGCTTGGCCCCAAAACGGCCCTTCCTTTCAGCGTCTTGGCTGCGCTCTGGCCCTGCCTGGGCTGCCCGTCCTTATGGGGCATGAGGGAAAGGAACGCACGGCCATGTCGCGGGCCACACCGCGCGTCGCACGCTTTGCCCGAGAGAGGCCCCGAGAGCCGACGTCACGAAAGAGGCAACACAGCTGGGAACATCCGCCGACCCTGTCGGCGTGTGTGAGGGGCTTGTCCGTTCAAGTCGTCATCTCCGTCATTCGTTGGTCGTCGTCTGTCGTCCCCTTTCCCTGCCTCCCCCTTTCCCTGGGCTCGTCGAAGCTCCCCCCTTTCCCAGGGACCTCCTCAGCGCGCCAGCCAAAGCGAAGTTGAGCAACGTCGTAATTGAGTCGAGGGGAAGCCCCTTCCCTTCGATCCCTCCCCCGCCGGGGGGGGGGTGAAGGGGTCCCAGGGTGGGGGGGGGTCAGGGAGTCCCGGAGGCCAAAGAAGCCCTAAGACGGGCGGGCCAAGACTGCCCCAAGAGGCCCAAAAGACAGTCCAAGAGAACCCCGAATCACTGAACGATCTATCCAAGACGCCTTGACGGCCTCCAGACGGCCCACGAGGCTTGCAAAGCGCCCCAAGATGCCTCCAGGAGCTTCCCCACGGGAGCCCCAAGAGGCACAATTCATGGATTTCCCATACGTGTTTGACAGATGTTGGGGTTCTTGCCTCTTTCGCTTCCCGACGCGCCAAGACGGCCCAAGAGGCCCCCAAAATCGCCCCGAGACGGCCCAAGATGCCCCCAAGAGGGTCCCCTAACGGCCGAAGAGGGCCCCAAGACGACTCAAGACGCCTCTAAGACGGCCCAAGAGGCCCCCAAGACGGCTCCAGGAGAGTGCCCAGACGGGGGACCCGAACGGACATTTCGAGCCTTCGGCCCTAAGAGGATCACAGGAGGCCCCAAGAGATTCCCCAGAGGCCCCAAGAGGCCCACAAGAGGCCCCCGGAAGCCCGAAGAGGCCGCCAAGAGGCTCCCAAGAGGCCCCCCAGAGTCTCCAACGAGGCCCCACAATTCCTACCTATACGACCACCCTGCGGGTGATAAGGAGGAGAGGGGGGAGGGGGAACCAACGTCTCACTCAATCGATCTCGCTATCGATCTCACATTCGGTCTCACATTCGGTCTCACACTCGGTCTCACATCGGGACACCATCATCATCATCGACATCATCATCATCATCATCATCATCATCATCATCATCATCATCATCATCATCATCATCATCATCATCATCATCATCATCATCATCATCGTCATCATCATCATCATCATCATCATCATCATCATCATCATCATCATCATCATCATCGGGACACCATCATCATCAACATCATCATCATCACCATCATCAACATCATCATCAACATCCTCGTCATCGGGACATCATCTTCATCAACATCATCAACGTCATCATCATCACCACCATCATCATCACCATCATCACCATCATCACCATCATCGCCATCATCATCTCACAATCGATCTGACTATCGATGATCTCACAATCGATCTCACTATCGATCTCACAATCGATCTCACATTCGGTCTCACTACCGATATCACAATCGATCTCGCAATCGACGTCGTCATCATCATCATCATCATCATCATCATCATCATCATCATCATCATCATCATCATCATCATCATCGCCATCATCAACATCATCATCATCATCATCATCATCATCATCATCATCATCATCATCATCATCATCATCATCCATCATCATCATCATCATCATCATCATCATCATCATCATCATCATCATCAACATCATGATCGGGACACCGACGGGACACCGACGGGACACCGGCGGGACACCGGCGGGACACCGCGCGCCACCGGCCGCCCGGTGGAGAATCATTTGGTCCGGCCGCGCCTCAGCCACAGAGGACACCACCGGGACACCGGCGGGACACCGCGCGCCACCGGCCGCCCGGTGGAGAATCATTTGGTCCGGCCGCGCCTCAGCCACAGGAGACTTTCCTCTCGCCCACCCACGCAGCTTCGCCTCGCCCGCACGCACGGCACGCACGAACACGAAACCGAAATCGATTCCCCGGTAGGGGGGCTCTCCGTTCCACTTCGATCCCACCCCCTCACCTCCGACGTATTCCTACCCAGAGGCCCCCGAAAGACTTCCGAAGAGATCCCAAGAACCAGACCATGAGGATTCTGGCCCACCTCAGCGTCGTCGTTGCCGCCGCCGCCGTTGTCGTCGTCGTAGTCGTCGTCGTCGGCGTCGTCACCCTTCAGGGTCGGCGGCACCGGCCGTAAGGCCTTCGCAATCCAAAGTCGGTCGGTTCCCTCGGCGCCACTGTTCGGCGGCATTTCGCCGTCCAGGTCGAAATCCGCGATGGCCCCAAGATCCCGAAAAACGCAGCAGAAACAACTGGCGTGGTATGTTCGCGGCGTCCAGCTCTCTGTAAATCGGTGCGGGGTCTGGGGGACGGGCTCGGGGAAGTCTTAGGGTGTGCTCTGGCGGGCTCTTGTGGGCATCTGGGGGCTCCTGCAGGCAGCACGGAAAGCAAGAGGAACCGAAGATCATCGAACGTCTTGTTCAGAGCAATATCAGCCAGCGTTGACTCCAAATAGATTAGACGACTCAAATCAAGGAATCATAGAAATCAAGCATGATTGGAATCCGCAACTCAGCAAGCAAGCAAGCGTGCAAGCGTGCAAGCAAGCAAACAAGCAAGCAAACAAGCACGCAAGCAAGACCGCAAGCAAGCAAGCAAGCAAGCAGGCATAGGCATAGGCATAGGCATAGGCATAGGCATAGGCATAGGCATAGGCATAGGCATAGGCATAGGCATAGGCATAGGCATAGGCATAGGCATAGGCATAGGCATAGGCGTAGGCAGAGGAGTTCGGGGGGAGGCATAGGCATAGGCATAGCGATAGGAACTAGGGGGGCACAGGAATTAGGGGGCAACGGACCAATTAGTAGGGTTTGAGCTAGGACTCATATAAGGAAAGCCTATTTGGATAATAAGTACGGGGAGCTAGATTAATGAATTGAGATACTCTCAGGTACACCGACGAGAAAACGCGTTTCACGGGCGCTCGCCTGGGGAACATTCGGCGGCGCGTTTCAAAACCGGGGGTGGGCCCCCCCCCAACACTCGGCGCCGACGATCAAAACCTGCAGGGGGACTCCTCTCCCCCCCACCCCCCACCCCTCCCCAACCCCCCGAACCCCCCCCCCCCCCCCTCTCCCAAGGAAGCCCAAGAGGGCCCCAAGGCGGCCCGATAGCCCCCTAAGACAGCTCCAAGACGGCCCCTAGACCTCCAAGACGTCCCTGCAGCCGCCAATGAGGTACCCACGTCTGCCAAGAGAGAGGGTCCCACGGCGTCCTCCGAAGGCCAAGATGTCATGCCCCCCAGAGGCCCTGGGAGGCCCCCAAGAGGCCCCAGGAGGTCCCCAAAATGTTATGCCCCCTAAGAGGCTCCCATGCAGTCCCCCGGAGGCCCCAACAGGGCCTCAAGAGGCCTCCTCTTGATCCTCCTCCTCCTCCTCCTCCTCCTCCTCCTCCTCCTCCTCCTCCTCCCGTTCCTCCTCTTCTCTCTCGTTTTCCCAGGTGTTCCCCACATACGGCTCCACGACTGTTGGAGGAGCACATACTCCAGTAGCTTGCCCAGACTTCGACCCAACGGCTGGCTGCATGGACGTTTCCAAAAACTCAGGAGGCGGGGGTGAACGATCTGGGCCATCTTCACTACAAATGAGTGTGTATAATAAGTGTACACAGTTGAATTCAAGACATGAATCATGAATACAGTACTGTTCGATCGTGGCTCCGAAACCAGTCATATGTGAGATGTCCGCGCGTAAAGTGCGTTGCAGCGCGAAGGGAGGGGCATGACATGCATGCGTTGCGCCAGCCCGATCCTCGCATTGATCTCCCCGTTCGAAATCATATCGAAGAGGAGTTCCTCCACCTCGGCAGTCTTCGACTCCTCGATGCCCAGCTCCTCGCAATCTGATCTGCCAAGGGTCGACTCGCCTGCCACTTGGCAGGACTGGGCGGGCACACTTAAAGGACTGGCTTGACCAGGCAGGGAGGCACCCCAGAGGGCTCTCTCTGGGCAGGTTGCTCCTCCAGAGGTCTCCTGGATGGCGTCCGAGCAGACCGGGTCGGAGGATCGCGACGCGTCGCCGATGCATCGGCGCCGCATCGGCGACGCCAGGGTGGAGAAAATCGGGCCCCACATCCAGGGGTGGAGAAAATCGGGCCCCACGTCCCGGGGTGGAGAAAATCGGGCCCCACGCCCAGCGGGGGGGGCAGGGGTGGAGAAAAAATCGGGCCCCACATCCAGGGGGGAGAAGATCGGGCCCCACGTCCAGGGGGGGAGAAGAGCGGGCCCCACATCCAGGGGGGGAGAAAATCGGGCCCCACATCCAGGGGGGGGAGAAGATCGGGCTCCACGTCGAGCCGCATCCCTGGATGCACCTCCTGCTCCTCCTCCTGCTCCTCCTCCTCCTCCCCCTCCTCCTCCTCCTCCTCCTCCTCCTCCTCCTCCTCCTCCTCCTCCTCCTCCTCCTCCTCCTCCTCCTCCTCCTCCTCCTCCTCACCTCTCCTCCTCCTCCTCCTCCTCTCCTCCTCCTCTCTCTTCCTCCTCCTCTCCCTCCCCCTCATCATCCTCCTCTTCCTCCTCATCCTCCTCCTCCGCCTCCTCCTCTTCCTCCTCCTCCTCCTCCAGCAAGAGTTCGACTGCAGGATCGATGTACCCACCAGTCGGAAGGCGACTACATAATCGTGACTACAGTCGGACTTGACTGCAGACGACACGCGAGAGGGCACGAGACCCTTTCCGAGGGCCGCGTTGCCGCAGAAACGCAGGAGGCATGGGTCGCAAGACACAGGACACGAATGTACCCTTGATCTGGCAGGGTCGACCAGCTAGTCTGGGCGGCCTGTACAGAGAAAGGTTGTCTACATAATCGCGACTACATAATCGCGACTGCAGAAAAAGGTTGAGTATCGTTCAACCGATCCCCATCCCCAGCGGCGTGGCCTGGGCCCCACGGGCCGATCTACCCCCCTGGATGGGGATGTAGGTCGTTCCCTTCGGGTTTCGAGGGGTGTATCCCCAACTGGGGTGGTAATTTGGTGGGGGTCTCGAAGGGGATGGGGATGGGGATGGGGATCGGTTAAACGATACTGAAAGGTAGAAACATGAAGTAGGAAATCGTTGAAAAAAGAGTAGGTTCCGTCCGCCCCTTAAGGAGGACGGAAAAGGTGAAGCCACTCGATCACTGAAGTAGGAAGGCGCTCAAAGTAGATTGAAATATGGAAAATTGGTTCCCTCATAGATTGAACTATGGGAAAATGGTCCCTGAGAAAAACCGATGGGTACCCCCAAAATGGTTCCCTCGTCGAGTCCGATAAAACGCGCAAATCTACCAGCATCCTTTGCACGTTTCAATGGAATCGACGAGGACATCAATTTTGGGGTACATCGGTTCTGTAGCCGATTCGGCTACACGCCTGAGTGACCCTGGATAAGAGTGACCTGCGGTGCGCGGCTTTTGGGGGGCCGCGGGGGAGCCAAACACGAGCGCGCAGGACGCTGCTACCTCATCGCGTTCGGCGATCGGAAGACCCCATTGGACCCGCATCCAAAGTCCGGCGAACGGTCACTCTGGCGAAAGGGATCGACTACAGAATCGATGTGCCCCAGGATTAACTCCCTCGCCGAGTCCATAAAAGACGCACAAATCTACGAACATCCACTGTGGATCCGACGAGGAAATGAATGCTGGGGTACATCGGTTCTGTCGTCGGTCCCTAGTCGAAGGGCAGGTCTCCAGACCCCCTAGTGGCCGCGAGGCGCGAGGCAAAAGCGCCTCGGTCACACCCCCACAAACCCTCGCCGCGCCTGCGTGCACCAGAGCCGCTGTTTCAGCACCCCCCGTGCACACAGCGCCTGCGCACACCGCAAAAATCGTGTACGCCTGAAGGCAATACCGACGGGGCCAAGCTCCGGAAATTCGTCGGGGGCCCGAACGTATCAAATTCAATATCTGAAATGATTGTGATTCTTTGTTTTTCTGGCCCCAGGAGTCTGCACCGGCAACGCCTGTGATTATTGACATCACAGCTGCTGTTTCGGCACCCGTCCGCGTGCACTACACTGCCTGCGTGTACCACAAAGTTTGGGTACACCTCCACGGTCCCGACGGTGCCAAAGTCCAGGAAATTGCCAGGGGCCCGAATGTATCAAATCCCATATTATCATATCATTGTGATTATTGTTTTTTTCTGGCCCGAGGAACGCTTGAACATTTTGCGCTCACAGCGAGTGTGAAACACAACGCCTGCGTGCACGGAACTGAAGAGGGAGGAGGAAGAAATGCGAAAATATACGTGGGCCCATTACAGACCTTTTTTTAAAATCGGCGATAACCTGGGTTATCCGGGGAGGGGGGGGGAAGGCGGGGGCCGGCCGATGACCTGACCTTCGCGCAGTGGGCAGCCCTGCAGATGCCCGCGCGCACCGGTGCCGCGGCCCCCACAGCTGCTAACGATGCTGCCGCGAAGCAGCTATTGGTGCTGCGACGATGCGGGCGCCGTCTGAGAATGCCTAAGGATGTCTGGACAACTCGCATTGGAATACGCGGGATGCGGTTGCTAAGCGTAGCCGCGAAGTCTTGTGTACAGTATCTATAGAAAACGCGTGCACAACACTGCCTGTGAGCACTACGAAACATGCGCGCGCCACAACGGTATTGCACACCACAGGTGCTGCTGCAGCAGAGGCTTCTGCGTGCATCACTGCGCCTGTATACACTGCGGTGCTTGCGCACACCACATGCCGCGTGCACCACAGCGCATGGCGAACATTTGCGCAACAGCGCTTCCGTGCACCTCCAAGGTCCCGCTGGGGCCCAGATCTGGAAAACCCATAGGGGCCCGGCCCGAATGTATCAAATTCAATATGTCGGTTATTGGTGATTATTGATTTTTCTGGGCCGGGGTGCGGTCCCCCCATTTTTTGGCGACCACGTTTGTGTACACCACAGCGCCTCTGTAGCGTGCGCCACGACGCCGTTGTACACCACAGCTGCTTGTGTACACCGCAGCGCCTGTCTACGGCAGGTCCGTGCCGTGTCGACCCTGGCGTTGGTTTCTGACACCGCGCTGGATCGTTCAACCTTGAACGATCGGCCGTCTCCGCAACGTCCGATCGTTCAACATCGACCGATTCTGGGCCGCCGTCGGCGTTCAACGTTGAACGTCGGCGGCGGGGTCGCCGCCGGTCGACACGACGCGAACCTACCGTACACAACAACGTCTGTGTGCCCCACAATGCCTGTGTACACTACAGCAGCCGTGTGCACCGCAGCGTCTGTGTACACACCACACACACACTGCCTGTGTAAACGACGACGCCGATGTGCACCACGTTTGCTGGTTCAGTACCATACTCGTGCACCAAAGTGCTTGTGTACACCACAGAACTGCGTACACTTCAAGGGCCGCTGGCGGGACCGAATCCCAGAAAATCGCAACAAGATCCGAACGTACCAAATCCAAAATGTAAGCTATTTGTGATTACTGATTATTCGTGCACAAGGAACGGTCCTGTCTTTTGGGCCCCCGACGCACGTGTACAGCCTAGCGAATGTGCACAGCAACGGATGTGCACACCGCAGCGCCCGTTCATACCACAAGGTGTGGTACACCGCAATGACCGTGCACCGCAGTGTTTCTGTACACCACCATGCCTGGGATGCCTGCGTGAATGATAACTGATGTTGCAGGAACAGCTGCACACCACAGAGCCTGTCTTCACTATATTACCTGGGGCATCACGATGCCCGCGTGCACCGCGCGACCTGCGCGCATGTATGCTTGAGTGCACCACAACGCCTGCGTACACAATCAATCCTGCTGCAACAATAGCAAATGCACGCACCAAATCGCTGCGCTGCCTGTGCATAACACAGTGGACGACGTCGGTCGTAGTCGTTGTCGTCGTCGTCGTCGTTCGTCGTCGTTCGTCGTCGTCGTCTGTCGTCGTCTTTTCGTCGTTTATCGTCGTCTGTTGTCGTCTGTCGTCGTCTGTCGTCGTCTGTCGTCGTCGTCGTCGTCGTCGTCGTCGTCGTCGTCGTCGTCGTCGTCGTCTCCCCCGTGCCACTCCAAGCCCCAACGATTCGCCAAGGTGCATCCAAATACAAGCATGTTGTGGCGATCACCAACGTACCGTTGAACACAGCGTTCCCTGCGAGTTCCCTGCGCCCCCACGCCGGACCTGCACAACCGGCTCAGTTAGGTTATCCTGGGGGAGGGAGGGGGGGCGAGCCCGACAACCCGGGTTAACGCCGGATCAAAAAAACACAATCCCTTCTGGCCCGCAGCGCACGCTTACATCGTAGAGACCTTGCGCACTACAGCGATTGTGTACACCACGGCGCCTGTGCACACCAATGCTTGCGTACACCCATGATGCCTGCGTACACCACGGCTGCTGCTGCAAGGACAGATGCGGGCGCCAGAACGCGCCAGAACGCCCGTGCACACCGCACTGTCTGCGTGCACCATAGTGCACGCCTCCGTGCACGACGGACCCTTAGCTGCCCAGGATCGCGCGCGGGATCGGGGCCGGGGCGTTACCGCTACGGGGTGTGGGGGGGGGAGGGGGGGGGGAGGGGGGTGGGGGGGGGCAACATGCGTTATCCCTTGGGTGGGTAAAAAAATGGTCTCCTGTGCGGCGGCAGGAGGAGAGGACGACGCAGAAGGCCAAGGAAGCGGAGAAGCAATCAGGAACAAGCGAATGGGAGCGGACACCACCTGGCCCTCCCACAGGGTTCC